TATATATATATTATATATTTACACACACACAAATGTTCTACTGTATATAAGGGATGCACCAAGCCGATACTGGTTCTTGGTATCAAGTACGAGTACCGTTATTTTTTGGGTAGTCGCCAATACTTATACCGGCATCTGTGGGCCCAGATTAGCAGGAAGCTGGTGTTCTATCGGAAAAAAACACCGGCTCAACTTCCTTTGCGACATTGCGAGGCAGACTAGCCTCCTGACCAATCAGGAAGCTAGGCGGTGGGTCATGATGTGCCTCCCAGCTTCCTGATTGGTGAAGAAGCCAGGCTGCCTAGCAACAAGTGAAGCCAGCTTCCTATCCAATCAGGAAGCCGGGAGGCGGGTCATAACCCACGGCCCGGCTTGCTGATTGGCTGGGAAGACAGCTCCAGGCTGTCAGGTAAGTATCGGAGCATCTGGGCAAGTACAAGTACCTGGCCAAATACTCAGTATCGTTATCGATGCATCCCTACTGTATATGTACTGTATTATAATGAGACCACTCCTGGCATACGGGCATGACGCTAAATAGTTATGCTTTCTTCTGACAGACCTAGAGACCAGCACTAAGCAGCATGTTATACATGTTGATAAATGTGACTTAAAAAAAAAATAGAGCAAAGAAAAATCACAATATCGCTGGGCATTTTTGTACAGCATATTGATATGTAAAATAGCCAATCGCAATCAGACTTTTTACTTTTACTGCTCTAATTTTAGTAAGCTAGAATTTCCTATGGCATGTTACTCTTTTAAAGAAGAACTCAGGGGAATAATAATATTAACCCTTACAGTGGGGCTACCCTCGCACTGTAAGGCCCCGTTCACGTTTGTCGCGCGATTTGCATTTTGCGTGATATCGCGCAAATGCTTGCATTGAGCAAGCGAGAATCGCGGCAAAATCCGCTCCAAAAAGGGTCCTGCTGTAGCGACACACGACCCACGACAGCAGGACCCTTTGCCCCATTGAGATGCATTGAAGAGCGATATCGCGCGGTAAATAGCCACGATATCGCGGGAATTACCGCGCGATAAATCGCTCAATGTGAGCGGGGCCTAAGGATTAACTGCACGTTTTCATTTGGGGTCTAAAATAAAAAAAGATATACTCACCCCAACCCGAGCCCAACCAGCATTGTTGGATAAAATATGATTACTTTATACCATATTAGTCACCAAAACCACAGAAATGGAAACTTCTTTGTCTGTAACACAGACCTCTCCTAAATCAAGTTGGGGTCATACTGCTGCATTTTCTTCGGTATGGACACATTCTTATTGGAGGCTATTCAAGAGTAACATATATTTTCATGTTGCAGATCGGAACTCGGAAAGTATTTATGAAATATTGGCAAGCTGATCAACTTAATGACATGTGTGTTCAGCTGCAGAGAAAAATTATTCTATGTCAGAAAGGTAAGATAATTTTTCATATTCACATAATTCTAAGTACCTAACAGCTGATTTATGGATGTAACTTCTACATACAGCCGCCATCACCCATTGATTTGCAGTGTAGTCACTTTGTATTCATTTACTGAATACTAAATAATTTGATGCAAACGTAACTGCACAAACTTAATTTTTTTCAACAAAAACACATTTTTCAAAGTTAGTTGACCATAAAATCAAAGACTACTCTAGCCTGTGTTAGCAGTCCAACACCAATGTAGCTGCTTGTTTAACCTCCCTGGCGGTATGATTATGTCAGGAATTTTGTACCAAAAGCGGTACATTTTTGGAAATTTGTTGTTTATATTGTAGGCCTGTAATTCTTAGTAAATCTTAGGAATAACTCACCTAAATCTGTCCAAACAAGAGTAAAGTAGACATCCCAGGTATGATGAAGTTTGAAACACGAAATTAAAAATTATCTTAATATATGTGTGATATATATATATGTGTATATATAAATACTATTGATTTATCTAGTGCTTTATAATATGCTTTGTCGCGTTTCTTCTTCTACATAAAAATTGCTAAAGTGCCTTATACCTCTAACATAGCTTCTCTTTGTGTCTGTGCATTATACGTGACAAAGTCCTAGTGAAACCCCCTATCTTTCCGTGTTTCCTCCCCTTCTAATCCCCTACCCTTCGCTCCCACCTCCCCTTCCCTTCCTTTACCCTATAAAAACCAATCCTTATACCTCTCTGTGGGTCTAGTCCTTTAACTCCCCTCCTGTTCTAGATTTTATCCTTTCTGACTAACCCTCCTGGGACATCACTTTGTTACCTTTCTCTACTCTTTCATAATTCCCATACACCCCTCCTTATATCTCCCCCTCACCCCTCCCAAGACTCTGCTGTTTACATCTTTACTTCCATGGCCTCTCTTCCTATTCCCTTTATGTTTCCCCTACCCCTATGGTTGGCTGGTATTCCTTGCTCCTTGGTCATTCCCTTCTAATTTACAAGAATACAGTATGCTTCTGATTCTTTAAATTCTTGCCACTTTCCCCATGTCTTAAGGAATAGCTCATATTTATCTTGTTTCATCATCACTAGCTCAACCATCAACCTAGTTGAGTCTAGTTTGGCGAACCATTCCGGTATAGAGGGGATTACATCTGTTCCCCAATATCTCGGAATCCGTGATTTAGCTGATTCAGCATATGGGGTATTAGTGATCTCTTATACCCCCTTTCTGAGTCCTCTGTAAGGTGGAATAAACATGTCCAGGGATCTATAGGGATCTGTATGTCACATATTTGCTTAATGGTCTTAATGGTCTCCCTGACTATTTCCCAGTATGTTCTAATCTGAGGACACTTCCACCACATATGTGCATGGGATCCAACGTCTCCACACCGCCGCCAACAGAGTGGGTCGTTTGTATTATGTATCCTGTGTAGTTTCTGTGGGACATTGTACCACCGTGATATCAATTTATAATTCGTCTCAAGTTTATTGGCGTCAGTAGATGTTGACTAAGCGTAGCATTTTCCTTTCCTCCTCTTGTGTAAGCTTTCGGTTGAATTCCTTTTCCCATTTATCTAGATATATAGGGGATGAACTATTTTCCTTCGTGTTTATAAATTTATAAAAAAGTGAGAGGGAATGCTTTGGTGCCATTGAGGCTCCCAGAATGGTTTCTAGTTCCGTTAGGTCATTATCTATTCTCAGAGGTTTAGGTAGAGTTTGCATGAAATGCAGAATTTGCTGATGTCTCCACCAATCTAGGGGGTATGGCCCCCACTTATCTCTAAGTTCTAAAAGAGAGCATATTCCCTTGCCTGACAGAATGTCCTTTACTTTTAAATTGGGGGACCTACACCATTTTACAAAGGCAGGATCTTCTCTTCCTGGAGGGAAATATTAATTCCCTATTAGCGGTATTAAAATCGAATTATACAACCACCCCAATCTCCGGTATAACCGGTCCCATGTCCTCATAGTTGAAATCGTTAGTGGTAGCGTGTTTGGCGACAGGCATCTTTTGGATGGTGTTATCCAGATTGTGCTCGATAGAGGGGTCTCGCTATATACTGTCTCCATCGACGCCCAACTTTTCTGTCCCATCCCGAATGTCCAATCTACTATTCTTACTAATTGGGCCGCCATGTGATATGTCCTAAATTTTGGGAGGGCTAAGCCTCCCTCCTGTCTCGCCCTGCTCAAGGTCTTCCCGCATATTCTATGTCTTCCATTCTGCCAAACGTATTTAGATACAACCTTCTGTAAAATTTGAAAAAAAATCCTAGGTATCTCAATAGGTATCATCTGAAATAAAAACAGTATTTTTGGGAGGGTCATCATCTTAATTGCGTTGATTCTCCCCACCCATGATAGCGTTCTCAAAGAGTAAGATGCCAGATTTGATTTAATTATGTTTAACATCGGGACATAGTTTTTCGCCATGTGATATGTCCTAAATTTTGGGAGGGCTAAGCCTCCCTCCTGTCTCGCCCTGCTCAAGGTCTTCCCGGATATTCTATGTCTTCCATTCTGCCAAACGTATTTAGATACAATCTTCTGTAAAATTTGAAAAAAAATCCTAGGTATCTCAATAGGTATCATCTGAAATAAAAACAGTATTTTTGGGAGGGTCATCATCTTAATTGCGTTGATTCTCCCCACCCATGATAGCGTTCTCAAAGAGTAAGATGTCAGATTTGATTTAATTATATTTAACAGTGGGACATAGTTTTGTTGATATAGCTCCTTAGTTTTAGATGTTAAGTTAATTCCCAGGTATTTGAGTGTCTTTTGTTTCCATCTGAAGGGAAAATACAGAATAAGAGCTTGTCTTTCCTTTTCTGGTACCGTTATATTTAAGATCTCAGATTTATCTAAATTGATTTTAAAGTTTGAGAGCTCTCCGTAAACTTGTAATTCTCTCAGTACCTCGGGCAAAGTTATTCTAGGGTATTTTATTTTATAATAAGATATCATCTGCATATGCTGCGATTTTAGCTTCCCCCGCTTGTGTCTCTATTCCCTGGATGTTTTGATTCAAACGAATCGTAGCTAACAGGGGTTCAAGGGAGAGAGCAAACAGAAGCGGGAATAGGGGGCATCCCTGGGGTGTACCGTTGTATAATGTGAATTCCTGTGACAGGGAGCCATTGATTCTCACTGTTGCTTTCGGATTATCATACAGGGCAGCTATCCAACTCCTAATCCTTTTCCCCACCCCCAGTGTGGTCAGTGTGTTAAACATGAAACTCCAGTCTACTCTGGCGAAGGCCTTTTCGGCATCAACTGACAGCAGTATGACTGGGAGTCCCTGTCTCTTTGCCACATGTATTAAAGATATGGTCTTGAGGGCGTTATCTCTCGCTTCTCTTCCTGGTATAAAACCCACTTGGTCCGTATGTATCCATGATGGGATAAAGGGGCGCAATCTATGTGCTAATATTTTAGCATAAATCTTGGTGTCTACATTCATGGGTGAAATTGGACGGTAACTTGCACATAGGCTTGGATACTTTCCTGCTTTCTCGATTACCGTTATGTGTGCCTTCAGCGCTTCAGTGTGCATTTTGGAGTTTTCTCCTATTGAATTTACATATTGACAGAATGTTTGACCTACAATATCCTGGAACCTTTTATAATACAGCAAAGTGAATCCATCTGGGCCAGGACTTCTACCTGTCGGGGTTGAAGCCACTGCCCTTTTGAATTCCTCGAATGTAATATCTGTTTCTAGCGCATTTAACATATCTCGAGGCATTATTGGGAGTCTTGCCTGTTTCAGGTATGCTTACATTTTTTCTATTTTTCCCCTTCCCTCCGTGGGTTTACCCTGCTCAGGGGGCCCTTTCACCTGGTATAATTCTTGATAGAAATCCCAAAATGTCTCAGCGATTTCAGTTGTGGAGTGTACTGTAGCCCCTGTTTTAGTTTTGACTTTAGCTATATACGTAATGGTTTGTTTAGTTTTAAGTGCCTTCGCCAGAAATTTGCTAGGTTTATTCCCCACCTCGAGTGTTGTCTTTGGGTTATGTTAAACGCCCGCTTGGTATCCGCCTCCAGTATTTCTTTTAATTGTTCTCTCTTCAGGGTTAATTCCCTGAGAGCTCCCGTGTTTAGGGTTAATTTATGGGTTGTTTCCAACTGTTGAATTACTTCTAATAATGTTTTTATATCTTTAGTCCTCTCTTTCTTCCGCTTAGCTCCTTTTGCGACCAGTTGGCCTCTGAGGACTGCTTTATGTGCCTCCCATACAATTACCGGTGATACCCCCTCAGTTACATTCTCCTGAAAATACTGTTTTGCTGCCCATTCCAATTCCTGGATAACCGATTTATCATGTAGCAAGGAGTCATTCAGCTTCCAATTGTATTGCTTCCCCATTGAGTTATTTATATTCAATACTAGTTCAACCGGAGCATGGTCCGAGACTGTCATGGGGAGAATATTTACAGACCTCACCGACTCTATTGCCACATGATCGATCAGCATCCAGTCCAGTCTTGAATACGAATCGTGCAGCTGGGAGTAATAGGTGTAATCCCATTCCTTTGGGTGTAGTATTCTCCAGATGTCCACTAGTTGGTGTTTACGCAACACTCTGCTCAATCGGGTAAGGTGGGAGATATAGTTGCGTACTCTTCTCGATGATGTGTCTAGCTTGGGGTCTATGCATAAATTAAAGTCCCCTGCCATTATCAGGGTGCCTTTACGTATTTCCCCCAACCTCGTCAGTATTTTTAACAGAAAGGAGACTTGCAGCCGGTTCGGCGCATATATATTCACCAGCGTGTACTCCTTCCCGTTAACAGATACTTGTAGAAATAAAAATCTGCCCTCTGTATCCACCAGTCGAGCATGTACCTGCACAAACATATTTCTCCTGAACCCTATTGCTACCCCCTTCGATCGATTGTTATTCTAGGGACTGTAAAACCATTGAGGGTAATCTCTTGAGTCTCTGGAGGGGAGATTTCTAGTTTATTACAAAAGTCCACTAAG